ATGCCTAGTTATCGAGAGCTTTAGTCAATCAGGACAGGAATTTCAAGAGTAGTGAAAGCATGTAAATAATTTATTTCTATACGTTCAGGAACTGAAAACTCATGGCAAACATCTGTTTGATGACTATTAAACTCTACTGTGTATAAAAGTCTTCAACAGTAGCTGGCAAATGCCACATGAACAGTGCTTAGATCCAACAAGGAACTTGTAAATTCAGTGAAAAAAAAGCAAACTATACAGATAAAGTGATCTTTGGTTTGAAAAACATTCCCTTTTTTTTATCCCAAACAATTACATGGCAAGTTCAACTCAACTGTGTTCTCAGGCAGAAACATTCACCGGAACCAAAAACGTATATTTTACATCTAAAAATGCAAAAATACAAACAAAAGAAAGGTTTATAGGCCAAACGAGAGAGATGTTGCATGCATTAGAAGACATAACAGGAGAGGGAGGGAAATACAAAAATATATAAAAGAGACTGGAGCACGTGAAGTCCAGCGGGCCGCTGTGTTTTAGAGGCGGTGTGTGTTTGCTGTGCAGTCTGTCTGAAGGCGTGTGTGTTCACTGTCTTTCTCTGTCTCTGGTGAAGCCTCTTCCTCCTCTTCCTCACTGTCTTCTTCGTTGTCGAAGGCGTTGGCGCTGAAACGAGAGCCGTCGCTGTCGCAGGAACTGGACGTCTCGTCTTCTGAACTGGAGTAAACCTCGGCCCCGTGGAAGATGTAGCGGTTCGGCGCTTGGAATAAATACTGCGAGGCTGCAAAACAGAACCAGAACCAGAACCAATTACAGCATGTGTGCAATGAGCTTTAAAAAAAATTAAACTAAAACTTTACAAGAATATATATCTGATTGCTTTGGTTTTAAACATCTTTTACATGAACAATTACTTTATGATAGATGAAAAATCTTAGATTCAAAACACAGTACCAGGCTCACGTTAAACGACTTAATGTGATCCATTCATCCATATATAATTATTCATCTATTCATATATCATTATTCATCTATCCATATATCATTCATCTATCCAAAAATCCATATTTCATTATTCATCTATCCATATATCATTCATCTATCCAAATATGATATATCCATATATCATTATTCATCTATCCAAATATGATATATCCATATATCATTATTCATCTATCCAAATATCCATATATAATTATTCATCTATCCAAATATCCATATATCATTATTCATCTATCCAAATATCCATATATAATTATTCATCTATCCAAATATCCATATCATTATTCATCTATCCAAATATCCATATATCATTATTCATCTATCCAAATATCCATATATCATTATTCATCTATCCAAATATCCATCCATCCACCCTTAAATTAAATATATAAAACCAAAATAGTATAATAAACAAATCTATCTACCCATCCATCCATTTCTGTATAAAAAAAATAAAAAATTTAAAATGATATATATATATATATATATATAATATAAACAATATAAAAATAATATGATAAATAAAATGTATAATGATATCTTTGTATATACATTAAAAATATACTGTATACAATAAAAATATATAAAAAATAATATAAAAAGAAAATAATATTAATATAATTAATACACAAATTATATCAAAACAATGTTTATAATAAAAAGCATAATATAAATCTAATAAATAAAAAACTAACATTTATAATAAAAATAAATTTATATAAATGTATCTCTCACTCTCTCTCTAGATTTAAAACTATATAGTAAATAAAAATGTGATTTTTTTTTTTAGATAAAAGGTTTTAAAGATTTTTTGTGTGTAATTTGCACCAATAAATCGTCCATAATAGCAGGAACATTTAAATATTTTATCATTTTAAATTTCTTTTTACCTCCAAGTCATACAAAAATAATATAAAAACGATGTTTATAATAAAAAACACAATATAAATCTAATAAATAAAACATAATATAACATTTATAATACAAATAAATGTATCTCTCACTCTCTCTCTAGAGTTAAAATTATATAGTAAATAAAAATTAGATTTTTTTTTTTAGATAAAAGGTTTTAAAGATTTTTTGTGTGTAATTTGCACCAATAAATCGTCCATAATAGCAGGAACATTTAAAACATTTATCATTTTTATTTTATTTATTTTACAGCAGTGGCTGAGTTTGTTTTCGAAGGGAATATTCCCCACGAGCAACGTCAATGCTCTCATGTTTGCGCGAATCATTTCTCACCAGACTGCTTTATAAACGAGGGTCAGTATAAAGCTGGTTTTGCTAAGAAGCTGCTCATGAATAAAGGATCGGTACCAGCTATTCGTGTTCCTGCTGAACCTCTAGAAGAACTGAAGTGAGTGTAACGTTTTATTAAACTTTATATTAATATTTATATTAATCTTTGCAAATCCCTATCTGCACGCTTCACGATGAATGCGTCTAAGGTTTACACTCAGGGTACATTACGGCATGTTTTCTATGTATGATGTTCTCAATATAATTCATAATCTCACGTTTATACTGAACAACGCGTTATGGTTATTGTGTTACAAACGGTGTACACACAGAACAGAGAGGCGGGGTGAGCAAAGCTCATGATCATTTAAAGGCATATGCACTGAAACGGCGTGCTGAAAACAGAGCTGTTTTTGACCAAGTAAAATAAGTGTTTTCTTACAATACTAATGAGAATTTTTAATTAAAGTATATTACAAACTTTTAATTTAGACCCTAAAGAATCATACTAGCTTGTACAAAAATGGCATTATATGACCCCTTTAAAGACTTTTTTTGTGTATTTTTTTGTGTTTTACCTCCGAGTCGTTTGCTGATTGGACTCTGGCAGATTCGGCTCCTCCAGCAGCGCCTCCGCACTTCGACACGTTGACGATCGCCTGTGTCTTGGATCTGTGTGTCGTCAGTAGCGTCCCGTGCTTCTGCTGTCCTACAGGGACTCGCCGGCTTTGGAGAACAAGCTCTTGGGTTGGAGTCCAACTCGTCCGTCTCAGTTTCCGGGAGCGGCTCTGAACGAGGGCTTGTTCGTCTGGCTCCTGGAGAAGACGCCATTTCAGGGGATTTTTTGGGAGACAGTGAAGTTTGACAATCAGTGTGTGTGATGGGCTGGGCGTGATCAGTGTGTGTGACGGGCTGAGCGTGATCAGTGTGTGTGACGGGCTGAGCGTGATCAGTGTGTGTGACGGGCTGAGCGTTATCGGTGTGTGTGACGGGCTGAGCGTGATCAGTGTGTGTGACGGGCTGAGCGTTATCGGTGTGTGTGACGGGCTGAGCGTGATCAGTGTGTGTGACGGGCTGAGCGTTATCGGTGTGTGTGACGGGCTGAGCATTATCGGTGTGTGTGACGGGCTGAGCGTTATCGGTGTGTGTGACGGGCTGAGCGTGATCAGTGTGTGTGACGGGCTGAGCGTTATCGGTGTGTGTGACGGGCTGAGCGTGATCGGTGTGTGTGACGGGCTGAGCGTGATCAGTGTGTGTGACGGGCTGAGCGTGATCAGTGTGTGTGACGGGCTGAGCGTGATCAGTGTGTGTGACGGGCTGAGCGTGATCAGTGTGTGTGACGGGCTGAGCGTGATCGGTGTGTGTGACGGGCTGAGCGTGATCAGTGTGTGTGACGGGCTGAGCGTGATCGGTGTGTGTGACGGGCTGAGCGTGATCGGTGTGTGTGACGGGCTGAGCGTGATCAGTGTGTGTGACTGGCTGAGCGTGATCAGTGTGTGTGACGGGCTGAGCGTGATCGGTGTGTGTGACGGGCTGAGCGTGATCAGTGTGTGTGACGGGCTGAGCGTGATCAGTGTGTGTGACGGGCTGAGCGTGATCAGTGTGTGTGACGGGCTGAGCGTGATCGGTGTGTGTGACGGGCTGAGCGTGATCAGTGTGTGTGACGGGCTGAGCGTGATCAGTGTGTGTGACGGGCTGAGCGTGATCGGTGTGTCTGACGTCTGAGGACGTGCTCTCGGCGTGTAACAGGGCGGCTGGTTTCTCTGTGATCTCGCTCAGACGTGACGAGTCGTAGCACAGATGCTCAAAGTCGCCACCCAGACGATGGCAGAGTTCGTTCACAATCACGTCACAGTCTCCGAGCAGCTCCACGTCGAAGTTCAGGTGCGGCAGCGGCTCGCGGTTTATCAGGACTTGAGGCACGTCATGAGGTATAGAGCCTGCAGAGAGACACGGATTTAGAAAACAAACATCATTTCGTTTTATGAAAGGGAAAATCATTAGCCTGGATGCTAGCCGAGCTTAGCTCCGCCCACAACATCTGAGGACGGGAAGTTCGGTCTGGACTTGATCCGTTGTGAAGCAAGTATGCCCGAACCGAAGCTGTTCGGACCAATCAAATTGTCAGGGCGGGGTTTATACGATGATGGACAGATGATCAACAGTAGCGTAATCATCACGTCACCAAAGAGCGCTTGGGTTGAATTCGTTTACAACAAAGATGGCCGCCGCTGGAGAACTGAGATGTGTAGATTCAGCATCGTGTCTGTTATAGAAGATTCATTCATTTTAAAAGAGGAACAGAGAACCGCGATCAAGGCATTTGTCGATCGGAAAGATGTTTCTGCCGTCCTTCCTACGGGATTCGGTCTGTCCAATGAGAGGTATTTTCTTTCCTGGTTCTGTTGAAACGCCCCATAATCACAGCCCAATGGAGCCACATCAAACTCACATGCTGACTAGAGTCTGCGTATGACGACGCCAGGCTAGAAAATCATGGTAATACTATGGCATTATCATCAGGGTTTGAAATTAACACCCGCCAAATGCGCCTAAAAATCAACTGTGGCGAGTAACGCTGTCAAATCACGAGCTAATTTGGCGTGTTACTTATTATATTTACTCAGTTTGCTGGGGAAGTTCGTGCAAGCGCCATGCAAATTAATTTTTACAGACGTTCACAATTGACCGTTCGCAAAGACCCGCCCCCTTTAGTTACTGTTGCTATGTCCGTCAAGCGACGCCGCTCTCACGGCACACACCATGTTCTCACAAAGTCCCAACTTTCAAATTTGGTAATTTTTTAACGAAATTTAAACAATAAATACCGTTTTGTAGCTCTTTAATGTGTCGTAGCAGATCGCTCAGTTAAAGCTGCTCGTGAACCGATCATCTCTTCATTATAGCATCAAATAAACATGAATGAACATCAGAAGGAATGTTGTTTTAACCGCGTAAAGACGTCAGTACACCGTTTTTCAAGTTCAAATCCTCCAACGTTAATCTACTAACTCTTCTGACCGCTTTGTCGGACAAAAATGGTGGATTCGGCGGATGGCGGATTATGATTGGTCAGATTGCCTGTCAATCAAACTCCCAGCGAAGGGTCAATTACCATCCGAATAGGGCTAAAGAAAATCAAAGAAAAACAAGAGATGGAACGTACTGGGTATAAGAGCCACTGGCCGCACTTTCAGCGAGGAGCCGATCACAATGAGAAGGTCCACCTCATCTTTATCCTGCTTCATGGCTCTGTGGAAAAATTCTGGAAGATTCTCGCCGAAGAAGACAATGTCTGGTTTCATGATGGCATACGGGATATCTGACGGACACCTCGGACAGTGAGGAACAACCTGCAACAGAACGACACGTTTTAAATTGCTTCCTCGAATATTCCCTTGCATGCAGGTTGTACTAACGCTGTTTGTGAATGTAAAAGGTCTGCAAAGTTTTAAAGGTCAAAGTGCACGACGAATAAAGTTGTCATTGTCTCATAAAAGAAAGCAGCGATTCTGAACTGCTGAAACGAGTCGTCGGTAATTCCAGTCTCACTTCCCGTTACATACATGTAACAATGTAACTAATTTGAGATGGTCCTCACTGCAGAACACGAAATCCAGGGGGAGGAGTTGGATCCAGATCCAACTCCTCCCACCTTACATATACCAAAACCTACCCATCTCCGCCCCCTGATCCCTAACCCCACCCCTAATCCTACCCATCTCCGCCTCCTGATCCCTAACCCCACCCCTAATCCTACCCATCTCCGCCCCCTGATCCCTAACCCCACCCCTAATCCTACCCATCTCCACCCCCTGATCCCTAACCCCACCCCTAATCCTACCCATCTCCGCCTCCTGATCCCTAACCCCACCCCTAATCCTACCCATCTCCGCCTCCTGATCCCTAACCCCTAAACCTACCCATCTCCGCCTCCTGATCCCTAACCCCACCCCTAATCCTACCCATCTCCGCCTCCTGATCCCTAACCCCACCCCTAATCCTACCCATCTCCGCCTCCTGATCCCTAACCCCTAAACCTACCCATTTCCGCCCCCTGATCCCTAACCCCACCCCTAAACCTACCCATCTCCGCCTCCTGATCCCTAACCCCTAAACCTACCCATCTCCGCCTCCTGATCCCTAATCCACCCCTAATCCTACCCATCTCCGCCCCCTGATCCCTAACCCCACCCCTAAACCTACCCATCTCCGCCCCCTGATCCCTAACCCCACCCCTAATCCTACCCATCTCCGCCTCCTGATCCCTAACCCCACCCCTAATCCTAACTCTGCCTCCTGATCCCTAACCCCACCCCTAATCCTACCCATCTCCGCCTCCTGATCCCTAACCCCTAAACCTACCCATCTCCGCCCCCTGATCCCTAACCCCACCCCTAAACCTACCCATCTCCGCCCCCTGATCCCTAACCCCTAAACCTACCCATCTCCGCCTCCTGATCCCTAACCCCACCCCTAAACCTACCCATCTCCGCCCCCTGATCCTAACCCCACCCCTAAACCTACCCATCTCCGCCCCCTGATCCCTAACCCCACCCCTAATCCTACCCATCTCCGCCCCCTGATCCCTAACCCCACCCCTAATCCTACCCATCTCCACCCCCTGATCCCTAACCCCACCCCTAAACATCTAAAAAATGTTTGTATCACTGTGTATTAAGTGCTGAATAAGAGCTGAAATTCAGATATGCTAATGAATGGCTTTTTAGTTTCCGACATGCGCTGTAAGCGGTCGACCAATCACAACAGACTGGGCCGTCTGACCAATCAGAGCAGAGTAGCTCGCGGAGAGGAGGAGCTTAGAGAAACTGAATCTTTGAACAAAGCGTTTCACACTCTTTAAGAAAAGAGCTGATGCTGCGATGTATATTATGAGAAAATGTTATGTTTTTTTACCTATTGTAGGAGCGTTTAAAATAAAATTAGGAGCCTTTAAAATAGCATAATGGGACACTTTAAATTTGCACACTCAAATGTACCTGGTTGAATATATCCTCCCTTACGGCCTCACAATCAACCTTATGTTTACAGACAAGACAGGAAGCAGTCGCAAAAGAACCTAAAACAAACAGTAAAAGACAAAAGATAAATAAATAGACTAGATAAGGACAGAATAATGTATATAAAGGGATGATGACAGCAGATATACCATGACACTGAATGATCTTCTGGATCCCGGCGACCTGCTCCAGTGTGTCGATGTTCTGAGTGTAGTTCCTCAGTAACCTTCCCTTCTTATCCAGCGTTGAGATGAACCTGTGACACGGAGACGGCTGGAACTGGCCTGGGTAGATTTCCTAGGATAATGAAACGGCGCATATTGATATTTATCTTCATGGCAAGACGTCACAGGTGAATAATAGGGTAGATAATATCACTGTGCTTCCACAGGTGATTAAATCACAGTAGCAGGGCTCAATGAAATCCGTTTTATATTGTCCAAAATTCTGTTAATTTTTTTCAAAATTCCATATGTCCCGTTTTAGTTTTTCTAGATTCTGTTCTTTTTCTGTTTTGATTTTTTTGCACTCCATTTTAAAGGTCCCGTATTATGCACCTTTTCACAAGATGTAAAATAAGTCTCTGATGTCCCCAGAATGTGTATGTGAAGTTTCAGCTCAAAATACCCAACAGATCATTTTTTACAGCATGTTTAAATTGTCATTTTTTGGGGCTCAGAAAAACGCGCTGTTTTAGTGTGTGCCCTTTAAATGCAAATAAGCTGGTGCCGGCACAGGGGGCGGAGCTTCATGAGCTCGCGCTCAGTCTCTCAGGACAATTTCATCTCACGGTCGGAATAATGATAATATCAGAAACTCTCAGTAACGGTGTTCATTTCGAGTCGGACAATAATGCCTACAGAGTCAGTATAGTTTAGTAGTTTAATTACGGTTATTATAACGTATTTGTCATCTGCTTGTATGTATCCATTATTTATTAATAGCCTACAAGTCTGCTGTTTCGGACCAGGTCCGAATGATGATCAAACATATACTGATGAGTTTAATAAAATTTATTGTACATCACACAAAAGATGAAGCGTCAGTTTTACTTCAGAAAATCACCGTAAGAGCTGAGTAAACACAGTAAGTTATAAGAAGTGCGCAAGTTGAGGGAGCATTCCTGTGGGCGGACGTTAGTCAAAAAACTGTTCTACTGACGTCATTAAAGAAGGAAGTAGAGGGATGTAGTCCAAACGGGCCGTTCGATGTAGGCGACTTCTGTTAAATAAAATATCTCGCTTGGCATTGAACTTTGAGCTTTATAATTTTACAGATATTATTTATACTCTAACAACAACATTACACACTAACTAAAGTTTGAAACATGGGATCACGAAGAACGGGACCTTTAATGGTTAAATACAATTTTAGTAATCAAAAAGCATGTCTAATTAATTGAAATCACGAAAAGTATACATTTTAACAACAATTTATTAAAGGTTTAACAAAAATTACATGTTTTGTAAGGCTCTATCAAATACGGTTTATTTTTTTTTTCAAATTCCGCTTTTTCCATTTCAGGTTTTATGGATCCTCTTCTTTTTCCGTTTTGATTTTTTTGCACTCCATTTTAATGGTTAAATAAAATTTTAGTAATCAAAAAGCATGTCTAATTAATTGAAATCAAGAAACTTATGCAATTTAACAACAATTTAATAAAGGTTTAACAAAAATGTCATGTTTATGGCCCTATGAAATACGCTTTTCCCCCTCAAATTCCGTTTAATTTTTTTTTTACCAAATTCTGTGTTTTCCGTTTTAAGTTTTCTGGATTCCATTTTAATGGTTTAATTACATTTTAATAATCAAAAATCATTTCTAAAATCAACTGAAGACATAAAAACAACAATTTATATTAAAATATATATATATATATATTTCTGTGAAATTAATTAAAAAATATTTGGCTATCAAATGATGGCATAAAACATTAATTTAATTTATCTTTGAATCATATACAATAAAACACCTTTTTGTCAAACAAAGTGCTAGACAACAGAGCTTTACTGTTAAAATTAAAACAGAAGAAAATGTATTATTCCTTAAAAAATAAAGTTTTATTAACAATTTATTATTATTAAAACAGAAGAAAATTGATTATTCCTTATAAAATAAAGTTTTATTAACAATTTATTATTATTAAAACAGAAGAAAATTGATTATTCCTTATAAAATAAAGTTTTATTAACAATTTATTATTATTAAAACAGAAGAAAATTGATTATTCCTTATAAAATAAAGTTTTATTAACAATTTATTATTATTATGTGTTACTTATTATTATTACATTGAGACAATTGCAGTTAAATTCTACTGTACAACACTAACATATTTCTGTCACAATTTCTTCAAGTTAAACCGAACTTTTATTTTGACGGGTTGCAGTGAAGTGGATTGAACGATTCTGTGCATGTTTTCCACTTTGTGGAAATCATTGGGTCCTACAGTTGTTGCATTACAAGTTTTCTGAACTGTTATGTTTAAAAAATGTAAATGAGGCATTGTGTAATTAAACATGCCCTCAATTACATACATTTCCAGAATGGAAATCTGAACACTGGATAAAGGCAGGTTCAAAATCCAAGTTCATTCTGTTGACATATTAGAGATATGTGCAACAGATATAGATAAAAATGGATTAAATGTGTTTTTTGGATGTTTTCTTTCCACTAGTCTGAAAGAAGACATAATTATGGAAGCAAAATAGACAATATGAATGAAAAATATTTTTTTTGCCTGTAGTGTCTTGCCTTATTTGAAATGCATGTTTTCCATTCTTGGCAGAAATGCAAATGAGAACACAGCGGATCAAACCTTGGCAAATTTGAAAAAAGGCCTGGGATCTCTTCTAAAGTAGTCTATGTCAAACATGGCTTGAGGATCAGGAAGATCAGGAAAATCCACAGCGAGTCGAGCGTATATTCCATCTCTAGAGCGAAAGTCAGGAATCCCGCAGGAAACGGACACCTGTGGACACAAGAGGAACAATATTCAATATATTCAGGGCTTGACATTAACACCCGCCAACCCGCAAAATGCGTGTGGATTTCAGCGTTGGTGTGTAACGCAGTCACTCCTACTACCCACTTTGGCGGGTTGAATTTTATATAATATACATTTTTCAATTGTAGTCTTTTAAAGGTAGGATTTTTGCAGTAAAATATCCAAAAACCACTAGGCCAGTGTTATATATTTTGTTTAGTTGATTACTTACAATATCCCCAATGTTTCCAACTATTTGTAAATCGTGAGAAAATTGCAATTTTAACCGAGGAAACGGGGCGGGTGAGCAGGGGTGAGGAGTCAATGATGTCATATCCGCTTTACCCTCGGTTTCCGCTTGTACTGCCATAGTAACCATGGCGACAGACGTGGACAACTGTGTTACGCCTAGCAGGACGCTCACGCTGTTGTTTTTTTGTTCAAACATTATGGACCATGGCAAGCAGACTTTGAGACAAAAAGAGGACTAGAACGAAGATCAACATCTTTGGAGATGCCGAGCGCTCCACGTCCGCGGCTAACTTCGCCCTCGACAGAGACGCGAGTGTTGCATGTACTTTATTAGACAGGTGAGCAAATGTACATAAAACTAATCAATGTTATGTAGTTCAACATGATGAAATGTTAGAATATGATCTGTATGTTATTCTAATGTTGATCTAGCTTACGGTAGTCTCAAACAGCCGACACACAACCTAACTAACAACATTCAACACACTCAAAACAACATTCAACACACTCAAAACAACATTCAACACACAAAACAACATTCAACACACTCAAAACAACATTCAACACACTCAAAACAACATTCAACACACTCAAAACAACATTCAACACACTCAAAACAACATTCAACACACTCAAAACAACATTCAACACACTCAAAACAACATTCAACACACTCAAAACAACATTCAACACACTCAAAACAACATTCAACACACTCAAAACAACATTCAACACACTCAAAACAACATTCAACACACACAAAACAACATTCAACACACTCAAAACAACATTCAACACACTCAAAACAACATTCAACACACTCAAAACAACATTCAACACACTCAAAACAACATTCAACACACTCAAAACAACATTCAACACACTCAAAACAACATTCAACACACTCAAAACAACATTCAACACACTCAAAACAACATTCAACACACTCAAAACAACATTCAACACACACAAAACAACATTCAACACACTCAAAACAACATTCAACACACTCAAAACAACATTCAACACACTCAAAACAACATTCAACACACTCAAAACAACATTCAACACACTCAAAACAACATTCAACACACTCAAAACAACATTCAACACACTCAAAACAACATTCAACACACTCAAAACAACATTCAACACACTCAAAACAACATTCAACACACTCAAAACAACATTCAACACACTCAAAACAACATTCAACACACACAAAACAACATTCAACACACTCAAAACAACATTCAACACACACAAAACAACATTCAACACACTCAAAACAACATTCAACACACTCAAAACAACATTCAACACACTCAAAACAACATTCAACACACTCAAAACAACATTCAACACACTCAAAACAACATTCAACACACTCAAAACAACATTCAACACACACAAAACAACATTCAACACACTCAAAACAACATTCAACACACACAAAACAACATTCAACACACTCAAAACAACATTCAACACACTCAAAACAACATTCAACACACTCAAAACAACATTCAACACACACAAAACAACATTCAACACACACAAAACAACATTCAACACACTCAAAACAACATTCAACACACAAAACAACATTCAACACACTCAAAACAACATTCAACACACTCAAAACAACATTCAACACACACAAAACAACATTCAACACACTCAAAACAACATTCAACACACTCAAAACAACATTCAACACACTCAAAACAACATTCAACACACTCAAAACAACATTCAACACACTCAAAACAACATTCAACACACACAAAACAACATTCAACACACTCAAAACAACATTCAACACACTCAAAACAACATTCAACACACTCAAAACAACATTCAACACACTCACAACAACATTCAACACACTCAAAACAACATTCAACACACTCAATGCCGTTTAGTGTGATAGTGTAGAGCAAGTGAAACAGCGCTGTGTTACCTTAAGTTTAATTCGTCTAATAAACTGACCTGTGTGAGTAGTAATAAAGCACTTGTGTGTAGTTCGGTAGAATGAAATGTCCTCATTCCTTTATATCCGCGGGACTCGCGTTGCGTGTGGCGCTGAGATCTGTCTCTCGTTAGCAATCGCGCCCTGCTTCACACCACAGTCATGTTAAAAACATCACTGTATTCACTCATCCATAAAAGATCCATCAGCTTGACGACAAGATCCATAATTCCGCTTAATGCTTTGCGTCATCAATATACGCCTTTGTTATTGTAAGAGGTTAGCGACCCCTGGTGGCCAAAAATCCTACATATTGTACCTTTAAAAAGGCATCTAAAATAATAAACTAAGTGCAATCTAGTGTTGGCAGTAATATTGATTTTTCGATACATATTAATACTGAAATATCTAAAACTCTTCTGCAGAATAGATACAAAAGACACCAGCTGTGTGTTCTCGCTCTCCAATCTCTCCGACAGTGAGTCGACACACAACCCTTTACTCACTCGTTTAATTTGCTCCGGATGAATATTGTTGGTGGTTCAAGGCTTGAATTCTGGCGAGGGATTGCGCGTATTGAGCACAATTTTACTCATTCCTGCAGATTTTGTGCTCACACCCAAAGTGCAGCACATAAAGTATATTGGCTATGTATAAGTATAATGGGTCCGTGCGTCAGGTCTTAAAGTGACAGTAGCCTAATATACCGGCTGCCAAATTATGAGATTAAAAATATCTATATGGTAGGGGTGTAACGGTACACAAAAATCACGGTTCGGTACGTACCTCGGTTTTAAAGTCACGGTTCGGTACGTTTTCGATACAGCAAAAAGAAAGAAATGCCAGAGAAATTTCCTATTTGTTAAAAGAAAAAATATTTTTCAATAACGGTGAGTTTTCCTACATCTTGAAACTTTCAGGTTTATAAATGGGTGTCATCTTTGAAGGATGAACAAATAATGTTTTGGTCATCACATTAAAAATAACATTTAAATATATATTTATTTATATATTATTTGAGTTTTGAAGTGCTGGAAAAAGATGTGTGAAGTACTTGAAAGCATTTCACTATTTCAGCCAAACTGGTTACAGTTAGTGTTACTATATTAAATCCACGGTGAATGTTGCTGGTAAAGTATTACTAGTTCATTCACGGCACAATGTTTCTCCTGGTGTCCACGTCAGCGCTGTTAGATCTCTACGGTTAATAACGGAGAAATGTGAATGCTTCTCACTAGATCTCGCAGTGCTGTTATTACTTCAGTGGCGAATTCAAATGTTTTCTTCACTGGATCTCTTAGCGCTGTGTTGTAACAGTGTCGTTTGATCGAGATCGGCTCGCGCTGCACAGATGTTGCTAGTCCGAACTGATAAACGATCCGTGAAGCACATAATGAGTAGCGCAGTTTCGTTCCGCTTGCCATTTGATGTTGCGTAACGTTGTGGTGATCACGCCAGCGCGAATTTTGTCGGCAGGAAAAATGGTCCAAGAAATCGTTCGGTTTGTATGCGCACCGAACCGCAAGCCTCGCACCGAAACGGTTCAATACCGTTACACCCCTACTATATGGTAGTTATTCCCCTATGGCAAATTGTGGCCAGTGAAAATGCGAGTGGCTAGTAACTTTGGAAAATCACTAGCCACAGTGGCTGATGAGCAAAAAAGTTTAAGGAGAACTCCGGCGCAAAATGAACCTTTGGTCTAATTACACATTGTTACCTAGTCAACCGTTATCTGAGATTTGTTTTCATGATTATCGAATGTAAATAGTTTTATCTCTAAAAACAGTTTAGCCTATAAAGCTAGTATAACGCTAGTATATTGGGCATGGAGTAATGACAATTGTTAATACCACTAACAAGGCTCAAAATAGCCCCACACTAACACGGTAGCATAATGAGGGTCCCTACCTTCAAACCGAAGCATTGAGAACTTTGTCAGTGTCCAGACAGTTTAATAAGAAGATATTTAATACATACAGTCAACTTCGCGTATACAGGCAGAAGCCATCGTTGAAATACAGTCTCTACCAGTCGATCTACGAACGCCGACTGTTTTTAGAGATAAAACTATTTACATTCGATAATCATGAAAACAAATCTCAGATAACGGTTGACTAGGTAACAATGTGTAATTAGACCAAAGGTTCATTTTGCGCCGGAGTTCTCCTTTGATGTCAAGCCCTGAATATATTCGAATACAGAATAATCAAATAATAATCAAAAACACACCCCAGCGCCGGTGAGCACCAGAACCTTCTTTCTCTCGTTCAGGAGTCGGACGACGTCCTCTAATGTGTTGATGTCTTTGTGTTTTTTCCTTTTGGGCGGCTCTGAGATGTTGATGATGATCTGCCACAGTGTCATGTCATCCAGGTCCGGTGGAAGCACCGTTTCGGGAAGCAAATCTTTCAGAATGGCCCTCGGGTCAGTTCCTCTCATGATGTGCTGCTGAATGAACCGATACGACCCTGAAGGAAAACCATGCTTTCATATAACTCACGAAACACTCAATTCTAGAGCAGATTAATGTGCAATTTGCACAATAAGGATGTATAACTGTGCACGTTAATCTTCAGTGTCAGATGTTTGACTCAGAATAAACGTTCTTTATTTTCATCTTGCAATATGCATCAGACACTCAGTAATGAATGGACGAATCGAACTAAACTTACCAATCTGTGGTTGGGGCGTCCAATCACTGGAGCTGGCGTGAGAAGAGCAGTCATCATCATCATCATCATCACGAAGAAGATCAGGTGACGTGAACCCACTGGGATGGACAGCTTCGTCAATTAACGCTGTGTGCAAAACACACAATCATCTCTAATTATATGACAGCAAAAGCAGCGTAACACAACTGCTGTATTCCACTAGACTATGTGCATTTCTTCGACTTATAATAATAGTTTTGCTCAAATTTAATCATAACTACTCTATGCATAATTTATTTTAGTTTTTTTTTTAAATTAATGTATATATTTAAGCAAATAAGCAAGGTAATGCAATATTATGAGTAATATATAAACAGGAAAATATGATCAATCTGTGCGGGAGTTACAGTTTCAGTTTCAGTTGCTTTATGAATCATCTGAATAGTATATCAATCATCTGGTTTACTAAACTAATTAGTCCAAAAGACAAGGCTATATTAAAGTGTCCAAATATATTTTAATAAAACAAAAATGTACAAAAAAAAAGCATCAATCAAATATTTATGGAGTTGACATGAAATGTCAAAGCAGTGACAGATAAATATTATTAAATAGAATAAATAATTACAATAAAATATCTAATAATTATATAAATTATATAAATAAATAAAATGTTTATTATATTTAATTAGTGAATAGTTCATTAAAACAATAAAAGAATATCCCTTAAGTATTGAAATTATATAAATATAATAACAATTATATTTAATTAGTAAATAATTAATAATAATAATACAATAAAATTTTAATTAATAAACAATGAAATTATATAAAATATATCAATAATAACAATAAAATAATATCTAATAATTAATTAAATTATGTAAACAACTAAACATAGTTATAATAATAATCACTTAAGTCGCTAATATATTAAATAATCATTCAATAAAAACGTAAAAATAGGGTAAAACTGTGTGAACATGCAGTAAACCTGTCTGTTATCTTATCATAAGAGATTAAAAAAAGACTTTTAAAAATAACCAATAAATGGAATAATTGGCTAAAGAATGTAACGCGGTTGTACCGGAGAGCTCGGGTTCTGGTTCGGCGGTGAGCCCGGGTTCAGTGCGCTTGTTGTTGTTGTGGAAGGAGGCCTGCCGGGACTCGTCCATCAGCGCCGGTTCCGCCTTCACCGGCTCGGTTCCACCAGCATCGCTGTGTTTCGAATCACCGAGCGGGTCTCGGAGCCTCGGTCTCTTCAGAACCGGCCCGTCCAGCTCAGCGGCGTCGGCGGGTTCGGCCCGTTTAGTCTCGCCGTCCGCCATCTTCGCCAGGGAGTGAGCGAGTGGAGGAGGGGCGCGGGCGAGCGCGAGCGGGAGGACCTTCCGGTAATGATGTGACGTGACGTCACGAGCATAGGTCACGAGCCGATGGACCATAGCGCCGCTAGTGCGCGACGCTGCGCGCGTCCGAACAGACTACAGAGCCCGTGAAATGTAATTTATTCGGTTACCGGTTATATGTTATGTTATTATTATGTCGTTTACGATATGCTGCTTGGTCTTATTGTTAAGGTGTTTAACAATGATAATGTGTTAATGCCTGTTTGTTATTTGAAATTATTTAATAAAGTTAAAAAAAGACTACAGAGCACGTGACTGCCCCGCAGTAACAAACCCATGGCTCTGTAACAAACGCTTCTGTTTAAAGTAGTTTATTGATATAATTATGTTTACATTATTTCAACCCCAAACATACCATGGTATTATTAAAGCGGAACATGTCCAAATACAATTTTTGTTATAAAAAGCAATTTTGTTGATTTAAATCAGAAGTTTGGTATTTTAGTATGAGCAAAGCCCGTCTATTAGACATTCTCTGGTATGAGTCATAGCGTCTGTGTCACGAAGGCCATTTAAAAGCCCTGCTACCGTAAAGTTTCAAATACTTACGCGCATGCGCGCTCAATCGAGCGCCACAGGCTTAGTGAGGAACACGTTTAAGCGAGTTTACGGTAATGTGTGTTGTGGTTGAGTGAGTGTAGGAGGCATGGAGGCGATACTGAACTGCAGAACGGAGGATTTGGAGGATTATTATGGGCTGCTCGGCTGCGATGAACTGTCAACGGTAAACACACAAGTTACAAGAACTTATGATAGTTCTTTTAGGGTTTGTGTTTTTATTATTTCTGCTAGTTTATTACGGCATCTTAAAGGACAACGAGTATTATTTTAATCGCAACTGCAACAACATATCGGAGTTATTAATCTGTCGTAAGCAATCTGAAAACATTAGGTAATTGCATGAATGTGCATTTGACACATCTGATGATAACAGCCTGTTGCTTGTGTGACGGAGACTGTGACATCATCAGTCATCATAATAGTTGATTA